TAAGACTGAATTAATTAAATAAAATGAATAGGAAATGCAGTGGATTAATAACTCTGGCTATGCTTTATATTTTCTGATATATAATGAATGATATGTATATGAGATGACTGGATGAAAGTAATGATAGTTATTTGTGGCATATCATCAATTAGTAAGGTGTAATTATAAAAAAACCTTTATTCCTAACATATCTAAATATTTTATTTGTTAAAAAATATGCTAAGCTTTGTGTGACATATCATCAATATGGGGTAACTGTAAAAAATATTTATTGTCAAAAAATATAATTAGTAATTGTATATATAAGAACAACTGCCTTGGCAATAAGAAAGACTTTAATTGGCGGGGGAAAATTTCGATTGGCTTAGATTTTTCACGGGGAAAAACCAACACATCCAGACCCAGAAGTTGGATATTTTGACACGCATTTTGACTGCATTAATCCAGCCGTAGGATTTCTGACCACCGCGTCCAAAGTCTCTTATTGAAGGCCTAAGTTAATCCAGCGCTTGCTGAATAATGAATTCTTTTGTAGCAGAGTTACGCTGCTAGGGCATGTAATTGGGTTCAGGTACACTCACAGAAATAACGCAGACTTTGTCCAAAATAGCGGTCCCGTTTTTAGCGCATTTTCCCATTTATGGAAAAAATGCACTATTGTGCTCGCCATGTCCGTCTGTCTGTCCGTCCGTTCGTCCGTCCATCTGTCTGTCCGTCCGTCCGTGACCTCAAGTTTTCGTCGACGAGAAAATGCGCTCTCTGTCACTCACTGCAGTGAGTATACTGAGTTATATTTTTATGTAATTGGGTACAGCTCCACTCAAAGAAATGAGGGATACTTTGTCCAAATAGCGATGCCACCTTTGCGCTGTGTGAGTCATCCTGACTCAGTTAATTTGGACGGTCAAAAAGAGCATATCTTTGGCACGTTCGCTCTCTCTGCTCGTGCTTTGAGTGAGAAGGTGGGTCAATATTTCGACAATATGGTTCATTATTTTCTGAGTGTGTTCAGTAGAGCTTCAGGCAGATGACTCACAATACTGAATAATGATGAATGAAGCAGCTGAATGATGCTAGATAATATAGGTAAAAATGCTGAATACATTTAATTGTGCTTAACAGGTACAGACCATTCATCATACACGCAATATTCATCACACGTTTTTATTCATCGTACACGCAATATTCATCACACGTTTTTATTCATCGTACACGCAATATTCATCACACGTTTTTATTCATCGTACACGCAATATTCATCACACGTTTTTATTCATCGTACACGCAATATTCATCACACGTTTTTATTCATCGTACACGCAATATTCATCACACGTTTTTATTCATCGTACACGCAATATTATTCATACATTTTTGTTTGCTCATTCAGAAAGTGAATGAGAGTGAATTTTGTGAAGAATTATGGGATTTATGGCGTTCAGGGTCAGGTTAACAAGAGGATTACAAGCACAGCGGGATTAATACCCACAACAGGATTACAACTTCCGGACGACCACAACATGGATTAGTAAACATGACATTAAATCCTAATGACATGTTAACATGCGACGGACATATGCATGTATATTGAATTAAATAACATGTTAATTAATTTGATGAGATCAACAAAGTTTAAGAAGATATTTGCTTTGAATCGAAGATAATTGTGATATGGAAGTGTTGCATTGAAGATAATGATAACATTGAAGTTTCTCATTAAAGATAACTGTTATTATATGCCTGTATATATAAATATTAAAGTTACGCATATAATTTTAGAAATTGGTGATACTTAAATACTGGCTTTCAATAACGTAGATTTGATACAGTTATATAACTAATAATTCCACACAATCATTATATTTGATATTTAATCGTTGCGAATATTTCTAATAATAATATTATCATTCTTCAAGCTGCTGCTTCTAGCCTATAAATAATGTGATGTTATTCACGGATATGAATTGTATTCATTTACGCATACAAGCGTCACGCATGCATCCCTGTCATCCCGACGCCGGTGTGGGGAGGAGGTTCATCAATAATGACTTTACAGAACTTCTCAGATCTCGAGCAATAACTTAATGATGTTGATTTACTGCCAATATTATCCAAACTTCGCTGCATCAGCAATAAAAATGATACTGATGATAGTGTGGTCAATGGATTTATTACGTCTGGTGGCACATGGCAACTCACATGGGTTGCCAAGTACCAATACTGCGCATTATAACCAAGGGTCATACTGCGCTGCTATTGGTTGAGCGTTCCAGGCAAACTGGCCTGTCATTGGTTGCCGCTTTTTTGTGCTAAAGATCAGGATTGTGATGTACACGATGTACGTTTTTCTTATGAATTATTAATTCAAGTTATGATTGAAAAGATATTTATGCGTGTCATATTAAGAAAGTGCAAAAATTATTTTACTGAGAATTCCACATTTACATGCCACTGTGAAGAAAGGTTATATCAAACTAAATTTTTCCGCTTCTGTTATGATTGCGTTACTCAATCGCTCTATGATTGTTGACGATACTAGTGAACTCAATTGAACTAGAATTTGCTTTATAACTTTGTAAGAATTTTCACGTAAAAATATGAAGCGAATCGCAGGAAGGTAGGCCTATATCGGTGGGCGGAGCTTCAAATAAATGATTGAAGAGGCTGGGAATAACCATGGCAGAGGAGGCGCTCCAGAAGAAGAGGCGGGTTGGGTGGAAGGTTAACACAAATAAGTGAAGGCGATTAGGCGCGTAATAAATGTTACAAACCCGCGGTGTTGGTGGCAATCATCCATGACTGTCGGTGGATGGGGTGACGTCAGTTACTCGACTCGTGACACGGGCGGAGACCGCACGTGCGTCTAACCCTGCCGTCGCCTTGACCGGCACTGAGGAGTGGCGGTAAACACTTTCCTTATAATAATTCAAACAAAGCGCCGCTGTAACGGTAAACATTTTCACTGAAAATATTAACAAAAGTTTATTACAAATTTATTTTAAACAAGGAAAACATCGTGTAAATCAAAAGAAATTTAAATGCTATTGAGTTTTCCTTGAATATTATCCAAAAGTGACATGAATTCGAACTGTTTTGGTGTTGGAAAAAGTAATGAGTTTAATGAAATTTTGTGAAAAATGAACAAAGAAAATTGACGTTGTGATTTCCAGGAGAATTGAGTTTGAAAATTTAAGTGAGTGACACAAATAAAACAATTGTGTGTTGATCACGCCGAACTTTCTTGTACTTCTTACTTTTTAAATAATTGTTGATTAATGATTAAATTCAAACAACTTATTCGTAAAAGATGGACTCGTGCTTAATGGTCTTTAAGCTTAATGCTCAATTAAAGGGAAAAAGTTTTGCGCATGAAAATAACCAAAGTAACAGAATTATGAATTATAATGATTCATTGTGATTTCTTTCGATTTCTAATGATTTATAATGATTTAGTTTGTTGGTTCAAGAAAATTTTGTTTATATTAAATGGCAAAAAATACGTCAAATTTTAGGAAATTCTAATGTTATCCCTATTTTAATTGCAATTGAATTAGTCCTATTATTCAATTTTCTTATGTTTAAGTTCAACGGGGATATGGAACACCATGCTAGATTAAAATAAGAATCTGGGGTAAAAAAAACTCATGTTTCAGACAAATAATGATAATAATATTTATAATAATGATAGCTGAGATCTTCTAAATCTTCACAAAATTAAAATATATTATATTAAAAAAATAATAAGATTTATTTCCAAAAAAGACAGCTCAATTCGACCTAGCTGTTCGTGACAGTTAAATATATAGGTATGCCGTTATATATATAGTTATATATGCTGTTGAAAATCTATCGAAAATCTTCAAAACTTGAATTGAAATAGAAATACGAAACCCTAACTGTTTTAAATTAAACCTGATAGTTAAACTATCATGTTTAATTTAATAGTTTTAAACCTGATAGGTTAACTTAGAGGTTAAAAGAGGTTAAAATATTGGTTAAATGGCCATATTTAAATAATACTGCAATGTTTTGACGAGAGTAACAAATTTGTTTGTTTTTATTGTTTATTTTTTTGAGTGTGGTTCTTTAAAAAAGGAAAAAAGAGCTCTTATCGAATACTTTTGTACGAATTTTTAACAATGAAAAAATTTAATTTGAAAATTCATGCAAAAATTCATTCATTCATATCTTCTGCAAATTCATTTTCTTAATACAAATTAAGAAAATTAACTTTATCATGAGATATAATTTTGACTGTAATATTTTTCACCTTCAGAAACAAATTAAAAAATTAAATATAATGATTAGAAATTGAAAATTAATAAGAAAAAATCTCAGACTTCGATTATTTCTTGAAAATTAACCCAATTAACTAATTAAGCATCGACTACTTGCTACTTAATCGACCTACTTAAAGTTAATTAGTTGAATTGAAGACTCAAACCATGCCAAGAACGCAGTGCGAGATAAAAATGATACGGGATAGTGATAGCATCCAGCATCATCGGGATATCATCACTACTAACATCACTACTAACATCACTAACATCACTAATATCCCTATCATCACAATGGCCAACACAATCAAGAATTCAAGCAACAACAACAATCACCATCAAAAGACAATCAGTAATGATAAAGATACTTCAGATTGTAACGATGATTCAGAAGATAATTCTAATGATGATGAATCTGACCGCGAATCACGATGCCAATCACAGTCGCAACTGGAATCTAATGCACAGTTTGGTCCTGGAATTTGCCAATCTTTCCCAGTAACTGGAATAAGCCAATCATTTCCATCATCAGGAATCAGCCAATCATTTCCAACAATTGGAATTTGCCAATCATTCCAAGACACGCCAATAACTCAATCATTCCCAGCAATTGGAATAACTCAATCGTTCCCAGCAACTGGAATCAGCCAATCATTCCCAGCGACAGTGATGAGCCAATCATTGCAATCATCCGGCCAATCATTGCAGACGTGCAGTTCTAATATGAAGACGCCGCAGGTCTACACAATAGAGAACATATTGGCCATTAAATGCAAGAGCCAATCACCGGCCAGCGAATCAGAGCAGAAGTTCGCTCCAGGTTAGTTGTTAACTTAGAAACATTTATACATATTTAGTTAACATTATTTGCCAATCGTTTTATTATTGATGTAATAGGAAATATATTATAAGATGAAGTGAAATATGTATTAATAGTTATCACATATTATCATTTTATCATAAATAAAAATAGTTATCAAATACTATTTATTTTTCAACAAATATTATATATTGATTGGTATTACATATATAATTAACAGGAAATAGGTACTTGAAAAATACCCTTATTTAATAAGTATTATTTAATTCAGATAAATTATGTATTGAATTTTTATTATGAATTTAAAGATTATTATCCACGGAGTTGGTATTATGTATATAATATATGAACGCTTCTTTGATATTTTAAATTTTTCGTTTTATAAGAAATATGATTTGAGCTCATTTGCTTATTGATGAAGATCAATAATTAGATTAATTAGATAATTAATTAGATTAGATAATTAAGGATTTTTCATTTTGGTAAAATCGTTTTAGATTAAAAAACACATTTTTGTGAAAAAATGAATTGGTTTTTTTCCTTCTTTTAATTCAGTGAATAAATCGTCAACATTATTTAGCCACTCACGCAAAATGGGTTTATTATTCTTAATTAATTTAAAACGAATTACCAAATTTTTGGAAATGAGGAAAAAGTTGCTCGCTGTCTCAATTTTTTGAGGGGAAATTGTTCCGAACATCAAAATTCTTGGGAAAATTTTTTATTGACTAATTAGAATTTGCGCAGCAGATCATTTTTAAATCAAATTATAAAATGTATTCAAATTATAGTTCAAGCGCGAACTTTCTGAAAGTTTTTTATATTCTATTTGTAAATAGACAATTTTAATAAATAAATTTATTGAAAGTGATCGGCGATTCAAAATTCGAAACCCGCAAACCAAAAACTTCCAAAAACCACTTATTGAAATTATTATATATCTCATTAGAAGTAAAAGATATTAAAACGAATGAAATCATCAGCATACGATAATAATATTTGTATAATTAATGCAAATGTTCGCCGTGATAACACACACATTCGATTTAAATTATAGATAAAATTTTAGTTTTTTAATACTTTTTATTACCAGTTTAATACTTCCTTTTTAATACCATTTTAAAATACATTTCATACTAAGCAGAATTTTTAAAACTTCCGGTTTGAAGATATACAATAAAATTACTATTTTCATCATTAAACAGAATATTATAACATGTAATGTTATTTATTAGGAGTTTTTGAGGCTGAACTTCACAAGTGAACGTAATATTAAAGCGTCTGCTTCTGATCATATCTCATAATTGCACTAAGTAACATAACATATAAACTAATCACTCGAAAATTATTAGTTTAAAATAATTATTGCACTTTCGTTTAGAAAACATGCATTACGTTTTTTCACATGTGCGTTTTCGCACATATACGTTTAAGCCATGCATATTTTTTCACACTTACATACGTGCACATGTAAGTTTATGCACATGCACATGCACATTTATGCACATCTACGTTTGTACACATCATATGCAAATTTGTACACATGTATGTACATTTGTGCTCATGTACGTTTGAACACGTATATATTTGTACACACGTATGTACATTTGTGCACACATACGTTTGTACACATGTACACAGGTATAAGGTTTGTGCCACACAAGCAGGTAACCATACAGCAGCACTCAATGTACTACTAAAGCCCTCAGTACAAAGGTGTACATTTCTCGAGTGCCTCGAGTGCTCTTCAGAGGGATAAAGTGCGAGTCTTGTACTGTTACATTGTGCTATTGTGCCATGAGCAACCCTTGCTGTACATCTGTACTGCACGGCTGTAATATACACATGTACTGCACACATGTAGTCTTTATTTTGTACAAAATGTAATAAATATTTCATTACTTGCTGTACATCTGTACAGCTGTAATATACACATGTACTGCACACATACAGTCTTCATTTTGTACAAAATGTAATAAATATTTCAAGTAAGTATTAACTTAAGGTATGGCTTAAGCCACAACTTAACTAATGCCATTTGTACAACGAAAACAAGTGAGTCCAAATTTTGACACACTTAATTTTTCACAGTAAAGCAAGTCTAACCTCTATTGCTAGCTACCATTGAACATTTTGTTACTTATTTTTTCGTTTATTTTTTTCTGTGAATATTAAAAGTCCATTTTCGGGACGCAAGATTTCTACGTCAAATTTCGGGACTTAAGATTTCTACGAATTTCGGGACGTAAAATATCTATAAATTCCGGGACGTAAAATTTCTACAAACTCCGGGACGTAAAATTTCTATGAATTTCGGGTCGTAAAATTTCTTCAAATTTCGGGACGTAAAATTTGTTCAAATTTCGGGACGTAAAATTTCTTCAAATTCCGGGACGTAAAATTTCTTCAAATTCCGGGACGTAAAATTTCTTCAAATTCCGGGACGTAAAATTTCTTCAAATTCCGGGACGTAAATTAAATTTCTACGAATTCCGGGAGGTAAAATTTCTACGAATTCCGGGACGTAAAATTTCTACGAATGCCGGGACGTAAAATTTCTACGAATTCCGGGACGTAAAATTTCTACGAATTCCGGGACGTAAAATTTGTAAGACTTTTTCCTCGATTACATTGCAAAATTCGGTGCAATTTTCACCGTCACTTTCTGCGGAACCAAAAAGTGATCGTCACGAAAGTTTTATTTAAGTTATCGCTTGAAAGTTGAGGTCATGTTAATGGTGGCAGTGAATGTGACGATGGT